TAGGCTGGCTGTGCGACTGGGGTTTTACATGGTTTCCCGTGCAGTTCTAGCTCGAATGGGGCACAGCTAAGAGTAAGACGGCCATGATACCGCAGATAACAATAAGAGAAAAAGTAAAGGAGGGGGGCAGGCTAGAGGAGGGGTTTCAAATCGAGAACTATTTCAATAAAACCAATGAAATAGAAAAATAAAAAATAAATAATAACTCTTAGCTCCCAAAGATTACAATTTTCATTCAAAGATTTCAGGATTTTCTTGAGTGCAACCGATGAGTTGGCAGTAATAACCAAATCATCGGCATACAATAACATTAAAAGGTCGTCAGCAGACATGGAAATGCTCTCCTTAAAAAACTTAACAATGTCGGAAATATACAACGCAAACAATCGTGGGCTAAGAACCTCTCCCTGCAGGACCCCCGTAGTGACATCAAAGGGCTCCGAGAAGTCACCCTAAGGTTTCACTCTCATCGACGTCGAATTGTAAAGATTCATCAGAGTATTGAGAATTTTTGCACTAATTCCAAGGTCAAAAAGTTTCCGCCACAATTTTGCGTATGGTGCCGTACAACAGTTACAACAGTTACAACAGTTTGGAGTAGGGTGGGGGGTATTTGCGTTCCACATTTTTAGGTAGGATAATGGAAATAATGGATGGAATGGATTTTGGATAGGTGGGAATTCCTTCTCAATATATTAGTGTACAAATAATTCAATAAAAAATTCAGATATTTTCAGACCGGGAATCGAACCCGGGACCTTCCGATTACCAGTCAGGTGCTCTTCCCAGCTGAGCTATCCGAATATATACTGATTTCCATTCAAATTATTTGTCAATATTGAGCCACACTGTCCTTCATACGGCAACCATTTTTACAACAGTTTGGAGTAGGGTGGGGTATCAAAAGCACGCCGGAAATCCACGAATACAGAGTACACAGCGGCCCCTTTGTGACGTAAATGCGACTGAATCACAGACTGTAGCACAAAAGCGTTATCTTGGCAACTTCGCTGCCTTCGGAAACCCGCCTGCTCCTCCGAGAGGAGACCTAAACCCTCCGCCCATGGTTCAAGACGCGTCCGAATAATTTGCGTAAATATCTTGACTGATGAATTTATTAATGCAATGCCTCTGTAGTTCTTGGGATCAGACGTGCTGCCTTTTTTATGTAACATACTGAGAGTGATGTTCGACCACGATCGAGGGGCAATACTAGTGGAGAAAATCAAATTGAACCGACACCGCAAGTAAGAAATCCAAGCGGGTGGTAAATTTCTCAAAAACTCATTGGCAATGCCGTCTATACCCGGAGATTTATTATTTTTACAATGCCTCAAACCGGCTTCCACCTCATCTAAAGAAATTTCCGCGTCTAATGTATGGTTAGTGTTACCAGAGAAGTTTTCGGCAACTGAAACTCGAGGAGGATACTGCTCCTTGTAAAAATTATCCCAAACCGCAACCCCCGGAGGTGATTGAAAGGGTTTCCTTTCTCTACCTTCACTAATAGCCACCCAAAATTCCTTTTGATTCTTTACGTTCACAAAACGCTCAATTACATTTTTCCTATACGCTACTTTTTTGCCGCTACGAGAGAGTCAAACTCCTTAACACACTCAAAATAAATAGGTGATACACTAGGATTGAAGTTCGACTTGACATAATCTCTATGGAGCTTATTCAGTAAGCGATTTTTGTAGGCGCATTCCGCATCGAACCAGGGTTTATTCTTCGAAGACCTCGATGATGGGTACAACAGGTGAATCTCGTTCTTCATGCCCGCTTCCGCAGGAGCCTCTTGTATAACCTGGACCAGGTTGTTGTTCAAATCATCCACTAACGGTGACTCGTTCGACGGAAATGAAATTCTCGAAGAGGACGAGAGATCATTGACATATTCCGCCCCCCTATTGACATTCCAGTTGAGTTTTGACTCCGGGGAAGAGTTGACAGCTGACGGCTACGGCTCGGCCAAATCCGCTGAGATTTTATGGATTTTGACGACCACTGGGTAGTGATCAGAATGCCTTTCAGTCTGGTCTACTAACATATCATTCACGAGATGTGCGCCTCCGAGATTAACCCAGACAAAATCTACCGTGCTAGTACCAACGTGACTGAAAAATGTTATTTTCCCTGGACGATCCGCTGGAGTCCTACCATTTAAAAGTATGAAGCTCTGACATTCCATAACCTCAAGAAGAGGCGTGCACCTTCTGTTCAGATCCTTGTTCGTCATTTTCCTACTGGGATAAAGAACAGTACCTGAGAGAAGAGCTTCATCGATCGAGTTCGTGTCCGCCATTTTGGAATTAAAATCACCACCAATCAGAAACATATCAAAACACATTGTCGCCTGAATGTTCTCTAAGAGTGATTCAAAAGGATCAAGAAATGCACGAAAGTCAAAGTGAGGGTCAGGAGTGACCTATATTAAACCCACTATCACCCTGATATCATCCAAATTTACACTGTGAAAGGTCCACCACTCACTCAAGCTAATCACTTCAGACGAAAATTTGTTATTCACCAATGTCAGAAGGCCTACCCCCCGAAGGGTTACTCACTGCACATACAGAGGAGGCGGTAACGTCATTGAGGGAGGCAGGTACAAAATGTGAAGTACACCAAGTTTCCGTAGCACAAATAATGGCATTATCAGCTATGTTTGATTTTTTGCACAAGTTGCTAATGCCGTGTAAATTCCAGAAAGTGACATTAAAAATTGTGGAACGTGGTGTGGCGTGGAAGGTATGGAATGAGGTACTCAGTTTTTTTGGGAATTAACAGGAACAGAAGCGGCAGCACCAGAATTAATATTATGTGAAGATTTACTCTTGTACTTGGACCTGGAAGAGGGAGGAATGCGATGCTTAGTCGGTAAGTGTGCCCGGCGCGTAACTGGGAGACCCGGGTTCGAGTCCCGGCTGGGCGAATCGGAATTTTTTCTCTCTAAATTTTAATTCTATTTGAATTTATTGAATGCCTAAAGGTGGTTAGGCGGCGTGCTGAGTTGAATTTGGAGTGAGAATTTCCGTGGTTCCCGGTAGCTTAGTCGATAAGAGTGCCCGGCGCGTAACTGGGAGACCCGGGTTCGAATCGCGGCTGGGCGAACCGGAATTTTTTCTCTCTAAATTTTAATTCTATTTGAATTTATTTTTATCTCTTTTTCAAGGAAAAGAACCAGTTCATCATCCATCAGCCACTTTCCATTTATTTCCATTTTTATATATCCGGTTTTAACAAGTATACCCTCATCCTTCAGACTGCTGGCAATTAAACGAATGTTTCTGGCCATATTCTCTTCGTACGGTGTGAGATCGTGATTTATGAATACTTTGGAGCCACCCTGCGACGATGCCAGTTTGCTCTTACTTGTCATGATCAGCTGTTTGTTGTCCCAGATGTCGATCTCAGCCTTGATTGTTTTCCTCTGTTTACCCACAACTGAAGCATCAATAACACAGTTGTGTACGCCGTGTGAGTCGGCAAGAAATCGTTCTGTTATTGTTTTCTGATTAGCGTCAGCGCAGGTGAGACCTCGAATGATAATCTTTTTTCGTCTGGCCTTTTTGTCGAGTTCGTACATGCAAAGGTTAACGACCCTCGATTCCATCCTTTGACGATTCTCCTTAATTCCTTGGATAGATGACTTGCACCCACCGACACCTTCCAGTGCACTGGCCCCCTGAAGATTTTCACTCTGTTCAATTTTCTGTTTGACTGTTTTCAATTCAGTTTCTAGCTTACTGATACGAGCATCAGTTTCTTGTTTATTCTCAGTGATCATGTCTCGAAGTTCGTTTTGACGTTCAGTGGCTGAGGCCCGGTCCACCTGACGCCAAATGCATATCTGTTTGAAAAGATCTTGGACAGATTCGGGTACATTGGTACCAGAGCCAGCCATGTTTACTAGGGGAGGGGACAAATTCGGTGAGCTGAGACTTGTTTTTTTGGCTGGTGATGAGAGGGCATCAGTGTTTAGACCATCAATGGGCTCACTCTTGCGCTTCGTGTCGGTCGTAGCAATGTCACTCGATGGAACACGTAGAGTGGACGGCAGTAAGCGCAGCGAGCTGCTTCTATTGCGGAACGGAATGCCTGTTGGCAGTGCTTCGTCGTTCACAATGCCCACAGAGAGGCAATGGAAATCACTAGGTTCTGTCAGCGAAGCTGGGGATTGAGAGGTAGAGCAGGTATTGGTAACACCGTGAACTGACTTGTCAGCCGCTTCTCCCGACATTGGCCCAAAAACATAACCTCACTTGACGATGAATGTAAAAGTTACGATGACACAAATCGGAAAAACGAAGTGCACTCTTTTTCCCGCACTGAATTTTTTTGATCAGAATAAAACACACTGAAAATACTACTTGAGGATCACTGTTATACATGTCTTGATAGAAGAAAAAAGGCCGAAAACTAGCAAAAAACACGGATCAAAACAAACACGGGTGTTACACCAGTTAGCAGATTGGGAGGTTTTCATCTCTTGATGTCTTTCCTTGGAGCAGTTGAAATCATGGATGGCAGTGGACTGAAAGAACTGTTGAACACAACTTATGCTGATAAAACTGTTGACCACATGTTGACAGGTCATGCCTTCAGTAAAGCAGTGAGGGGTCGTCTTCTTATCCACGCAGCGTTAAGGACAATAATTACCAAACATATGGACACTATTAATAATGAAGGTAAAGAATATATGAAGAATTTGCTAGAGAATTTCGCTGAGCAACCACAGACCCTACCAGAAATAAATGGAGATGAGCAGTTGAGACAAATTGCAACCAAGATGTTGGACACCATGGAGATCCTTGGAAAAAATGGACGAAACTCCAGACTCTGGCTGCAATATTTCCATTGCATTACTCTCATGAAGCAGTTAATTAAAGCGGAACGCTTAGGCAATTGGCAGCTTCAGAGAATACGAAAAGTTTACCACTCGAGGTTATTTCACAATACGAAGATCTGACAAGAAATGGGCAGGCATCTGGACCGATATGACGATCGAGCAGACAATAATGCGTGTCATAAAAGTCTCAGGTGGGCTGACGACCGGTCGTGGGGTGAACAAAGAAGGCCTATTAGCACGATGGATCCTCGGAATGCCTATCGCATATGAAGTGATGGATGCCTTAGAAATATTTTGTGGAGTGAGAGGGGCCACTTCTGAGCAACACACTGATTGGAGACCAAGCAATATATCACGAGATAACGCCGATTACCTGCGATTCATCGAATGGGTCTCTGCCCATGATCACTTCACTGCAGCTGATCCTGCGAAAATCATGTCAATCGCTGATGGAATGTGTGGTGGAAAAGAAGTGAACTGTGATCAAGCTATCGAAATAGGACTGAATGCAATGAAGACGATGGTTGGAGTGAATGCTGCTGATTTGAAGCTGAAACGAACAATACGAGTCAAATCGCTGGCTACTACAAAACGTGGGGTGATGCTGAATGATGAAATTGTAGCTGTCAATATAACTCTGTTATTCCAACGTATCACAGCAGATATTAAGGGTGACCGGGAGTTAGCTGTTCAGTCGTTACATCATGAGCTAGCTCCATTTCCTCTTGCTCTATTTGATGATAATGGTATAATGAGGAAATCTAAGAAATCCGATCTCTACAAGGAATTCAAGTCTGTCCCACTGAATGCTATTGACCTAACGGCATGCAGAATAGTCATTGACGGTGGCTTCTTACTTCATAAAGTTGGTTGGCCCCTGGGAACATCCTATGAAGGAATCTTCAAATTGTACGAGAATTATATTCTAAGACACTACGGTGCTCATGCTATAGTCGTATTCGATGGCCATAAATAATCAGATGCTAGCATTAAATCTGATGAGAGATTTCGCAGGACAAAAACTAAAGTAACTGCAGAAGTTGTTTTCAACAAAGCAATGATTCCCGAATTAACACCAGCGACATTTCTATCAAATAGCAAGAACAAGGACAGGTTCATCGATTTTCTGAAAAGACATCTCATTAATGCCGGAATAGCAGTCGAACAAGCCCCTGAAGATGCAGATCGATTGATCGTAATGACAGCCATTCAATAGCTTGATTGTCATGAATTAGTGGTGGTAGTCGGTACAGACGTTGACCTGCTTGTTCTCTTGATAGGACTGACGCCAGTGGATTCACTATATGAAGGAGGATCTTGGTAACGTTGATACCGTATCTTCTAAAGACAATCAAGATTTCAAGAATAATATTCTGTTCTACCATGTTTTTACTGAATGTGATATAACCAGTGGGCTATACAACAAATGAAAGAGAGCCTTCCTGAAGGTCTTGAAGAAGAAACGTCAATTAGAGCAATACGTGGCAATGTTCAGTGATCCTACATCTACAAAAGAAAATATCAAACGTGCAGGTGAACTTTTGATGCTGGCTCTCTATGGTGCTGGAGAATCGCACATCTCCATTGATTCTTATCGTCATGAACGTTTTGTGGCATCAGCTGCCTGTGCTAAAACAGAAGTACGATTGGCGAAGCTTCCTCCTACAGCCGGTTCAAGAGAACAACACTCATTGCGAGTCTACTTCTAAGTTCCACAGTGGATTGGCAGAGATCGATTACATCCATTAGACTGGGGTTGGGAACTGAGGGATCAACTGTTCTTGCCTGTCATGACCAAGGAAGCCCCCGCCCCAGGTATACTCCTCAAAATGATCCATTGCGCATGTAAAGGAGGCTGCACAATTCGGTGTGGATGCAGACAAGCAAGACTTAAGTGCTCGACCATATGTTCAGGATGACGGGGCAATTTCTGTACCAATGCTGCTGCCATTGACATTACTCCAGACACATCAGAAAGTTCTAATGATTCTGATGTGGCGATTGTCAATCAGGTTGATTCAATAATCACTGATCACATTGGAGAAATGCTAGATGACAGTAGTATGGAAAATACTATGGCGCCCCCCACCCACAGTCACTCCGACCCCACCACCGCACCGGTCAGAGTAGCACGACTCCGATGCGGGAGAGTGGTGGGGTGGAAGTGACTGTGAATGCTGTGGGTGCGTCATAGCAGCTATCATACAGGGGAAATAAAAAACACAGAATTTCAGTTATTAATTACATGTATATTTTCCCCAAAATAATGTCCCCATGAATAACATATTTTTCTTATAAATTACTTACATTTTTGATTCCACGACGTACAATTATAACCGCGGCCACTAAATAACTTCCCTTCGGGGGCACTATTACGTTTTTTCTTCATAAATGCATTATGATATTCACGCACTAGACGATCATTAGATATGAATCGATCGGTGAATAACGAATAGAACTTCTCAGGAGTAGCAAACATAGCCATACAATGCAGAAAAAGTACACAGTATTGTCCACATACACTCGAGTCATGATGCTGGAGCTGCCGGATGCTGCACCTGAAGAGTTTACAGTTCTTTCGGAGCCTTGCAGCGTGCTGGGGCACGATGGGAGGTAGTCCGAAGCTGTCGAAGTACCATCCTCTACCATTTCGATCAACGTACATGGCGATCCAGTGTTCTCCTGGTTGGGTGTGGTCATGTGTGTTTGCTACTATTGCAGTCGGTTTCGTCCACGCCGATGAGATCTTGTCTGCAGGATATACACCGACTGTATGATTCGGTATATACTGTAGGGCTTCTAGAATCTGTGCTGTGTTCATCAGCAGGAAATTTCCCTTTGGATAAACTTTTTAATCCTTCCTCGTTCGAAGTCAACCACGCTTTGATTTGAAGGACTCGGCGCATAGCACATATAAAGGTTCTGTGATTCAATGTACTATGTATGAGGCATGATGGAACAGCTACTGGTGTACAAGCGAATAGTGGCGATCTGATATGGCCCTTCAAATTGATAACATCTCGGGTAAGAAGGGCAGCAGTGAATTTCGTTTGCTCACAACCATAGGTATACACGTATTTTATTCCTTTGGTAACGGCTCGTAATACTGCATAGACATATTTAGAAGATGCTTCTCCTTCATACCAATCTATACCGTGACGTGTGATTGTAAGTTGATTGTTCATCCTCTGAATATTAGGTGGAATCGCAGAATACTGGTATTCAGGACAAATTACCCAATGTCCTATCATGTCGAAGGATGTGGAGGTCACCGCCACTTCTTTTGGAACGAATGTACCGTGGATTCCGATGAAACCCTCGTAATGAATAATTGCTGCCGAATCTGAATTACTGCAGGCCATTGCTATGCTCTCCTTTCAACCTTCTACGTTGAATATTCATACACAACTGTACAGTTGAACAGCGATTCAAATCCGTTGTTTCAGAAAACTGCTAATACTGCAAAAATAGCTGCGCATGCGCTGAGCATGATACCGAATGTTTTGATGATTATGCATAGTCCAGGGTCACTTGTCTGGCTGAGTCAATTTCTATGA